GTAGTCTAGATACTACCTCTTTATCTGTAGCATAGCTGGCAAAGACTTTCTTCCATTCTGTAGCCTTTCTGATAGTTTCTTTGTGTGCAGAAACTTTCCAGTTTCATAGATTCCACCTTCTGACTCTTGGGGGCTATGTCCTGTGCTAGTGGAACCCTGCTCAGACAGTTCTTGCCAGGAGCTACAACTGGAAACACATTCCCTATTATTTTCCTCTGGCAGTTTTGGGACATTAGGTTTTCAGTTGAGATCTTTGATCCACTTCGAAAGTATTTTTGCGCAGCATGAGAGATGTGCTACTAATTTAATTCTTTTTCAGGCAGTGATCAGTTTTGCCAGCACTGTTTGTTGAATGGACTTTCCTGAGCCCTTTGTCAAAAGTGAGGTAGCCATCACTGAAAGCACCATATTGCTGCTAAAAAGTCCTTACTTTCCATAGCAGTATATCCTCTCCCTCTGTGTCATAATTTGCATATTCAAGCAAACATAATTTAATTTGTTTAAGTTTCACTTGTTTTGACAGTTAGAAATAGTAAACTACAATAAATTAGTTGATTTTAGTACTTCACTTTAATGTTCAATTTGGGGTCTCTCGATCATAACTTGTTTTGATGCTTGTTAGATGAGCAGAGATTAAAGAGAAAAACAGATAATCTAATTCTTTAAGGAAGATTGGAAGGGATTGTGTGCCTATATAGTTTTTCTCTGTAGAAGCTGCAAATAGCAAAATATTTGGCTACACAGCAAACAGTTATCGAATCAATTAAAACATATTTGAAACAAAGATAGGGATAATTTTGTCTTTTTTTGAGATTCCAGGTGTCTGCCATCCTGCCCAGCAAAAATAGAGACCCGAGGCTTTTTTGCCCTAGTGACCGACAGTGGTGGGACCCTGAAGTTATGAGTCCTGAGTGCAGTGGCTAATTTAGCATTTGATTTACTTACCTACATCATACTTTCAATGAATGAAAGTGTGTATACCAACTTCACTTCCCCCTCCCAGGAGGGAAAATAATGCACTTCTTTCATTTAAAAACTATATACTTTATTAAAAAATGTCCTATGACTGAAAGGAGAATGTAACATGAAAATTAACCTAGAAACACTCAGTCCTAAATGGGATATTTTCACCAAACTCCTCCCCTCAGTGCTCAGGGAGCTGTGTAGAAGAGAAGGCAAAAAGGTTGTAAGAGCCAGTGAGATGGAGGACACCAAAGAAACAGTGTCTCCCAAATACAGCTGACTTGGGCACATATAAACTCTCACCGATACTGTGGCAGTATGCACAGGTCCAAACCAGACAGGATCCCAGCACTGGCTGGGAGGGGCATACACGCTCCTATCCCTAAACAAGAAGTTATCTCCATTTGATAATTTCCTTGCAAAGAAGAGTTAGTTTTCTTCAGTGAGGTCTCACTGCGCACACAAATAACACTTAAGGGCAGGCCCCATGCCCAGGAGTAGATACCCATACAAAATGAACTCAAAGGTATTTTTATAGTTTTTTTTTTTTTGGTCTCATATTGGCTTGTTTAGGCATTGAAAAAGATCTATCTCATTGGTCTTTTGCTTATATATTATGGTTTTTGATTTTTGTTTTTATGGGTTTTGTTTGTTATGTGTGTCTGTGTTTCTTGCGATTTTGTTTTTCATTCTTTTTAAATTCTAGTTTGTTTGGTTTTGTGTTTGCTTTCTAAAGAGAAAGAGAAAGAAGTCATGGAATTGGATGAGTGGGGAGATGGAGAGTATCTAGGAGGAGATGAGGGAGGGAAAACTGTGATCAAAATAATCAAAATGTATTGTTTGAAAAAATTATTTTTAATGAAAAAAGTAAAAAAAAAAAAGTTTCTCTAGAAAGTTATTCTCCAAGGTTTTAAAAGAGCAATTGTATTTGTTTTGGTAAATAGATACATATTTTAGTAGGCCCATGTTTCCCAATCACTCTGTTAAGATGTTCCATGCTGACCATTGTATCAGAGACATTCTCTTTAGTCACCATCTTCTCTGTGAGAAGATGAGAACACTGGCAGGAACCCTCAGTCCTTCAAGATGAAACTGGATTTCCCAATGGAAAAGGCCATGGGAAGATTTGTTCATATAGTTCTGGTATATCAAAGATGGGGCGATTTTTTCAGACAAAACACAAACTAGAAGTTAATTAAGAAAACCCAAACAGTTAGACTCTTTTTATTCCAGCCTTCAAAGAGGGGGCATGGACATTACCATCTTGTTATCTCTACTTCTGTGACCTTTGAACGATGGGCAGCCTCAAAAAGCCATCACCTTCTCAAATGAAACTTAGAGCATGACTCCTTCAGAAAGTGGAGAAAGTCTCTATGCTGAATAATTCTAGGGGTTGTGATCAAATGGGTTTCCCCTCTAGAATGGAACTAATACACGTTTTTTTTTTAAATATGGTGTATGCAGGGTCATGCACTCACACTCCCGTGAACATGAACACATGTTCATGCCTCAGGCACATCCTTTGAAAGGTAACCTAACCCATCTTTACTTCCTTAGAAACCATGAGAGTAAACAAAACTAAACATTCAGCCCACTTCAAAAACTGGACATGTCTGTGTGTGCCTGTGTTATTTGGCAATGTTGTAAAATAAAATGGGTTTGTGGTGTCTGAGATGCTAAGGGTTAAACCCAGAGTCTTGCACATGCTAAGCAGCCGAACCCAGATCCATCTGCAGCTCTGGCCTGTTATTATTTTTAATGAAATGCTTCATGTCTTTCTAAAATACTTGTCATTTTATGGAGCCACAAATAGCAGAGATGGTTTAAATTTTTAAATGTAACTGGAAGCTAGGTGTGGTGGCACATGCTCTTAATACCAGCATTTGGGAGGAAGAGACAGGCAGACAAATCTCTGTGATTTGAGGCTAGCTTGGTCTATAGAGTGAGTTCCAGGACAGCCAGGGCCATGTAGGAATACCTTGCCTCGAAAAACCATAAAATAAAATAATCTGGGTCAGGAGTCCAATCTCTGTGAATTTGAGGCTAGCCTTGTATACACAGAAAGTTTCTGGGGCAACCTGGGGTACATAGCAAGACTGTCTCACAAAAATATTAAAATCACAGTTCCATTTATTTATAAGAGAGGGAAAACCTTTTAAAGAGATAAGCAGCTATAGAAAAAAGATTAGATTGAATTTTTAAAGGAAGTCTCTTTAATAAAAACTTGGAACAAATGATGTGCTTTTCCTAAAGTCATGTATGTCATCACAGTATCCTTGGAGTAGACACAGGCTGGCAGTTTGGGAGTTAAAGGACAGGAAGAGATGATGTCACATGTAGGGGTAATTCTGTAGCATACCTGCTTCCTTCCTAGCAGTTCGTAGGCAGAATTCTACCAGTGCTGTGGAATAACCATATATTAATTACTTCATAGCCACTGTAAAGGGACTTTGAGTCTGTTGCACATAGGTAACTATGTTGTTGGAAACACTCTGCTGTTGGTTTTCCTAGGGTAGTGTCTTCTGATTTGCAGAAGTAAAATAAAAAATGTTTATGGGACTCAATGGGTTTGTGTTTATTTCCTTGTAGGAGCCAGTCCTTCAGATTTCAGTGTGTGATGTGCATTGCAGAGAAAAGTTTGTATCATTAGAAAAAGCAAGGGACAGAACACTTTTCTATACAGAAGTATACCACAAGGGGGGAAAGCCATCAATTATTCTCAAACCGAGGAACCCTGTGCACAAGGGACCCTGAAATTGTGAATCCAGGTAGTTGGTACTAGTACTGAAACTCCTAAGCCATTCGAGGTTTTGGGTTCTATTATGTTTGATGGAGATTGTAGACCTTTACCCTAGGAAAATGTGTTGATATCACAGTAGCCACATAGGCAGAACTTCTGCATAGGAACTGGAGCTCAGTCAGCAGTACCAGGGCAAGGCACACCTGTACTCTTCCTCCATCATGTTCCTCCAGATTTCTCAGTTTGGAAAACAAGCTCTTTGGGAGATGGCACTAGCTTATTGTATAGACCTTATCTCTTATCCTTTCCACCATACATCCCAAATGGAAGTCACATAGAATTGTTTACATGTGTTCACAGTGTCTGAACACACCTTCCTATTTTCCGGAGGTTCACTCATGCCTCCTTATTGTCTTGCTATGTGTGACACACTTTCACAGAGCTTCCCTGCGCTCTTGCCTAACGCCTCCCTGGATGTTATCCTGCTCCCTACACACACACACACACACACACACACACACACACACACACACACACACACACACGGGGGTCTCCTTTCCTTATCATAAGCTGCACCTTGACAACATCAGCTCTTCTAGTGCATTTCACAGCTGGCTCGTCAATTGGGTACTGGTAAGATGCAGGTGAATTGTTGCTAATGATGCTGATGACTTTTTTCTTCCTGGCATCAGATGTACTTTCTTGAACCACATATGTGAAGATATATTTTTTCCTAAAGAACTCTATCCCATGCAATATTAATAGAGCCATATGCTACCCCTCTCTCAGAGTCAAGAATCACACTGATAACACTAAAAAATGTATTGCCTGTTTCAAAAGAATCATGTGACTCTGCTAACTGCGTTCCTGGTAGGTGCTTGGCCCTCTGCAAACATACATGTATGTTTTATTGGGCAATTGTTTCTTAGTAATCTAGTTCTAATTTTTTTATGACTTGGGAAAATACTATGTTAAGAGTATTTTCAAAACAATAACAATATTTATACATATTAAAATAAGAATTTATAATGTTTAAATTCAATAGTTGCAGGTACTTGTGTAAATAATGACACTATATAACCTAAACATAATGAATAAGTAAATAATAGTGTTACAAAGATAAAGTAGGAATACAGAAATACACACACACACACAACTTTAAAAGGAACATACCTTTATAAAAAGGAATGAAGTATGGGGGTCCTAGGGTCATAGAATTCTTGGGTTTTCATGAGTTTGTATTTATTGTATACTGAAATATTGTCACAGCTTAAATTTCCTATTTTCCCCTCTCTAGGCTAAATTTACAGATGACTGTAAGTTCAGGGAGAGATTTCAAGAAAACAGCTACAATACCTATGCGTCAGCTATCCACAGAACTGAAAAGACTGGGCGGGAGTGGTATGTGGCCCTGAACAAGCGAGGGAAGGCCAAGCGGGGCTGCAGCCCAAGGGTCAAACCCCAGCACGTCTCCACCCACTTCCTACCCAGATTCAAGCAGTCGGAGCAACCTGAGCTTTCCTTCACGGTCACTGTACCAGAAAAGAAAAAGTCACCTCGCCCTGTGAAACCAAAGGTCCCCCTGTCACCACCTCGTAGGAGTCCCAGCCCAGTGAAGTACAGATTGAAGTTTCGGTTTGGATGATGCTCATCTTGGCCATGTGGGAAACCACTCTTCTGCCTCAGGACCCTCCACAGGCATCACCGAGCCCAGAAGGGAACTTTCGGACACAGTGTCACTCCATCCCTCCGCTGTCCTGACACGTATGGAAGTCAGGTCATTGTTTCGCTTTGACTGGAACAAGACTGCTTTTTTTTTTCTTTTTTTTTTTTAAAAAAAAAAAAACTTTAAATAGACACAAAAGTGGGATTCTGTAGCTATCCAGGCAGCACATCCCTTCAGCTCAGTAAGGTATAAAGACTTGATGATAAGAGGATCTTTAGCATTCTACCTTTTTAGAATGTTCAGTAGCCTGGACTATGTATGTATTTTTCTGCCTTTTACAGATCAAACTGAAAGAACATACATGATACATTTTTATTTTTCTTTTCCAAAGAATATTTTAATGCAGATAAAATATTTTATAAACTTCTGGTTTTTTTTTAAGGTACCTCTACATTGAGCATATTTTCTTACTTTTATTATTTTAATTAATGTGCCACAAGCAGTCAGTTTATTGCTGTTCCTGGATTGTAAACATTTTGATAGATTGTCTGGTAGCATGTGGATCCCCTATGCATTTTTTCACTGCATTGTTTACTTTATTGTAGCCATACCTCAAGTCGTGTATGTTTAGTTCTACATTTTAAATTGTTTAAATGTGCTTCCACGGCCCCAGAGGCTCAGCTAGGAGGTGTGTATTGTTATCAAGTCATGGCATTATGTGGACTCCTACCACGTTAGTGGCTGGGCTCTCACCATTAGAAGGAAGAAAATAGGAGGACATTTTGATGTATTTAAAGGTTGGATATAAAGAAAGGACAGAGGCAAAAGCACAGTAAGTGTAAAGCATCTGTGGCTGTCTAATTCCATCTCTTTTGCTTCTTCTTTTGTCTACCCCTTGCCCTCATCCAAGAACAGCTGAAGGAATACATTTTATTCTGTCCATCAAGCATGCACGGTGAAACCAGAGTGCTTAAAAATACTTCTATTCTCTCTGTTATCCTTACTGTATGGACTCACAGAGAGCAACTAATCAGGGTGTGTGTGTGTGTGTGTGTGTGTGTGTGTGTGTGTGTGTGTGTGTGT